ATGGGATGTAATTAGTCTAATTACTTTAAAAACATAATTATCAAAAAATCTATTGTTATTTGCAAGTGGAAATTGGTGGAATTGAGATTTTTTAAAAAGAGGCAATAGTTGGAGGACGCCAGTGCATGTAGTACAGCGCGGGAAAAGCTGCCAGGCAACTGCTTGTATAATGCAGTGTAGAAAACATAAATGTTTACGTTGTAAATCATTTGTATGTAAATGTGAGCATAGAATTAGTAGATAATGATGTTCATGCGTAGAATGCTTGGAAATATGCATCTTGTCTTTCTAAGAGCGATTTGAAAAACTTTTTTTTTCGAAAGGTACATATAGTATTTTTGTAGTTACCCATAATGCAACTCATTTTAGCCGATTGTCAGTCACGTTGGTTCCTCATTTAGAATGTAAATTTATTCTGACGTCACAGAAAATAGTTTCCTCGACCTATTGAAGTTTAGTTCTGATGAATGTAATTGCAGATTGAACAGATAAACTGCCCTTTAAAATAAGAAATTAAGATATAGTTGTGGTTTTCAAGGAATATCATATTATATTGATAGCAAGTGTATACTGTAATTACTATACAATAAATATAGATTACATGATCAAATCAGATCGGAGAGAACTAATATAGGCCGTTGGTCTGCTGTTCAATCCATGTTCATTGTATACTTCTTTGTATATTATGAATAAAATACTTTTTAAACTATAATCAGATCAATGTACACAAAAATCAGTGTATAAAATATAAAAGTTGTATCTCACTTAATTCAAATATTCAGCATGAATGCATAAATCACATATGTACAATCAATCTTAACACAAATTTATATATTACAAAAGCGCTGCAACTAATATAACAATATAGAATTAACAACTTAAAACATACAAAAGTTAATATTAAAACTAGCTCTCTAGGGGGACAAACCCAATTACATGAAACATCAAAATAAAAAGACTGGATGCTTCATGCAAGTCCACAGTTCTAATATCAAATACTATATATGCACTTATGCATGTACTGTACTATGCATATCTACATATCTAATATCAAATACTACGAGGGTTGTCCCAGGAAAACGCAAACTTTTTGAATATTTTAAATACTATTCAACCAAAACTAGTAATTTTTTGGATGGTGTTTGAAAACGGCCTTTTGTGATGTCACGTGCATATAAAACAGCATTTAAAGGGTGTTAGATATCGGTGGTCGGCACACGACAATTTTTTATGACTTTTACAAATAGCATTGTCAATAAAGTTTTCTTTGTTATCAGGCTACACGGGAATATAATGTCACAAAATTTACCTACATAAATACTCTATAATTTGGCGTACTCCTCTTTAAAAATTCATTTATTTGAGATCATTAATGAAAATTATTATTTTTCTTTATTGTTCCAACTATCTGATTGGCTCAAACTGGATCACATGTTCAAGTATAAAAAGTGTTACAGACTGGATATTCCTATTTTAAAAATTTATAAACCTGCTGTTTCTAAAATTGGAAACGTTCTTCTGTGAAGCAACAATAGTGCTGACGTCACAAAAGTCTTAATAAACTGGATGTTTCTAAAAACAGATGCTGCAGCTGGTTTTCATTACTGTGACGTCATAATAAACAATTGTAGCCTTTTGATTCGGTACAATCCGGATACTGCAGATTGTCAATTCACACACATTACCAGCTTCGTTTTGACGTCGTCGGTGTTGCGCTGACAGCTGATTTGTTAGATTCGTTTACTTAAGAGGAAGAGATATTTCATTAAAATATTCAGGCATTAATTAATAGAAAAGTTTTGATCATGCTGTATATCAATTTTTACGTTATAGTCTTAGTAAAGCAAAAGATATTGAAAATGTTCACTTTTTCTGGAGCAACCTTCGTACATACATGTACTGTTCTATGCATATCCACATAATTATCTAATATCAAATACTATATACATGTACTGTACTACGCATACTATAATACTCATAATTCAAACAAATACATACGTGTATATACTAAAACACACTGCTACATTTTTTAAAACAACCTAATTTAGCAACATTTATAATAATTATATTTTTGTCTTATTTATTTGTATGTTCTATGTCTGATTTATTTGTATGTTCTATGTCTGAGGAGCAATTTTTCTGTTCTCAGTTCATTGAGGAGCCATGTTTTTTTTCTGTTTTCTTTACTTTGAGAAGCTTTATTTTCTGATTTCAGTTTTTTGAGGAGTTGTATTTTTCTGTTTTCTTTATTTGAGGAGCTTTATTTTCTGTTCTCAGTTCATTAAGGAGCTGTGCTTTTCTGTTTTCAGTTTTAAAATATGGAACTTGTTTATGTAATAATTGAAAATTAAGCTTTTTTGTGTTATTTAGTACTAAAATAAATATAAATCTAGTACACACATAGCTAAACTAAGACACACTGACATTTTTTAAAACAACCTAATTTAGAAGTGGTGGAACTGAAAGGGAAGTTTATGTTTTATCTGGGAATCTTCTCTCAGGTCCCTAGTTTTGTGATGAGTGGCATCAATACATTTATGATAACTACTGGTACAATTTGGCATATACATTTGTAACTATTGGCCTATTCAAAATTATATTGTCCAATTTTTTCGTATGGTTTTTGTCTGATTTATTTGTATGGCTTTGTTTGATTTATTTGTATGTTCTATGTCTGATTTATTTGTATGTTTTATGTCTGATTTATTTGTACGTTTTATGTCTGATTTATTTGTATGTTCTATGTCTGATTTATTTGTATGTTCTATGTCTGATTTATTTTTATGTTCTATGTCTGATTTATTTGTATGTTTTTGTCTGATTTATTTGTAGTGGACAAGAATTCCTCGGAACAGACAGAGAAGTTCCTTCCTGTTATAGAACCAGGGCTGGACTCCCTCAGCAATAATCCAGAGGATGTTGATTTCATCCCCGTAGATCATACTCCCCCAGACAGGTAAAGTTAATTTTTATAGAATTGATCAACTCAACTTGTCTGTCTGTCTGTCTTATGTTGAACTTATCGCGGTCGATCACACACCACCAGACAAGTACCAGGCGGGGGTGAGGTTTTACAGATTTAATTGTCTCTATTAAATCACCTTGTCTGTCTCCCTGTTTGTTTGCCTGTCTGATGTTGATTTCATCCCGGTATATCATCAGATTCCATTGTACAGTTAATGAGGTCGGGGTTGTCATGTCTGGAAATTCTTAGAAATGACAAGTTGCTGTCAGTCAAAAATATAATCTTGTGTCTGACTTGTTACTAAACCCAAAGAGATTTCTTTTGAGACCTCCGGAATACATATAATTTCATTACAAACTAATTGTGCATAAACATGAGGAGTACACGTTTTGTAATTTTTTTTTCATGTTTGATCTATAATCACTATTTAGACACATTGACATTTACTATCTATGTTACAGATACCGTATTGTATTCTTCATCATGGTCGTTCATGGAATTGGAATTCTGATGCCCTGGAACATGCTAATTAATGCTAAACAGGTAAGATTAATCACTGGAAAACTGTGAAACTTTAAATAGTAAGATATTTGGTTCAACAATAAAATATGTGATGATAGGGTACAAAAAGACATTCTGGTGCAGGAAAAACATCCTTAGCGTATAATTGATACTCAGTACCTGTTTTACTTAACTCTAACCACTAAGAGGTGTAGGTAAACAGTGTATAGTTATATATTTGCATATCCACTGCTCACTCCCACTATGAACATGTAGGTATCAACTGCGTTCATAAGTCTATAAACGCAACTGCTTCTGCTATGAGTGTAATTGCTCTATCACACTCATGTAGAACAATCTCTACTACAATTGTAATATGAGTCGGGAAGTATATATATGAAATGTTGCTTAAAAGGAATAAATATAAGTTTTTAATAATATTCTAAATGAAAAAAAAAGAAATTCAAAATATTTAAAATTGCTGATTTTTATTTTTAAAAATTCAATTTGGTCAATGTATTTAATTGTATAATAAAACTTTTCAAAAAATTGTCAAGAACTGCCATACTTTTATTTTTTCATATCATGCATATTTGTACAAAGAACGATATCTCTTCACACTTGGGTAATAACATTCAGAAAGAGAAAATTTCTTTAACTAGTATATCTACTTCAAGAATGATTTCAGCTATTAAAAATAAATAGAAAAACTAAAAAAAAAAATCATAGAAAAGCATTTTGGAGTAATAATCATTATAAAAACATTCTCATTTTTCATCATCGGCCCCTACTAGTGTTGAATTATTGATTTTTGTCAGAGGGTTTCAATAACATTGATCGATGACGTCACAACTGCATCAAAACAAAAATTATGAGAATGTCTGCTTGTATCCAAATTGTGTCAGGATTTCCTCTGATATTCTTGAAAAAATCAAAGAATGCAAATATAAGTAATAAACAACGATTATTCAGTGAACATGGCATTATGAATAGCAATAGCTCTGCTGGCATATTTTCCATGATGCGCCAGCGCGGATCATGGAATATACCAGCAGAGCAATTACTATTCATAACGCCATGTTCACTGAATAACGTTGTTTATTTCTTAAATACCAGAAGATTGTTGTCAGCTTTTTAGTGCTATAAACTCACCAGCAGATATGATCTATTAACTGTATTTGGAGATGCTAGTGAGGAGCTATATTTTCTGTTTCAGTACTTTGAGGAGCTGTTTTTTTTTCTGTTTTCTTTACTTTGAGGAGCAATTTTTCTGTTCTCAGTTCATTGAGAAGCTATGTTTTTCTGTTTTCAGTACTTTGAGGAGCTATGTTTTTCTGTTTTCAGTACTTTGAGGAGCTATGTTTTTCTGTTTTCAGTACTTTGAGGAGCTGTGTTTTTCTGTTTTCAGTGCTTTGAGGAGCTGTGTTTTTCTAATTTCAGTACTTTGAGGAGCTATGTTTTTCTGTTTTCAGTACATTGAGGAGCTGTGTTTTTCTATTCTCAGTACTTTGAGGAGCTATTTTTTTGTTTTCAGTACTTTGAGGAGTACAAGCTGGGTAAGAATGAGACAGAAGTGGTGGAACTGAAGGGGAAGTTTATGTTTTATCTGGGAATCTTCTCTCAGGTCCCTAGTTTTGTGATGAGTGGCATCAACACGTTCTGTCAATGTGGGGGGTAAGTATTTTTATATGATTTCTTTATTAGAAATGTCTGGGAGGGGGATAAGAAGTAAGATAGCAGTGCCTGAAATGACTTTAAAAGGGGGAAGGGCAAGAAAAGTGCTCAGAGGCTAACTACTCTTTCTGTAAAAAAAAAAAGGGGGACAGCAACCCTTCCTTCAACTGTAAAAAAATAAGGGGACGACAACCCACCCTTCAACTGTTAAAAAATAAAGGGACAGCAACCAACACTTCAACTGTAAAAAAAAAAAAATAAGGGGACAGCAACCCACTCTTCAACTGTAAAAAATAAGGGGACAGTAACCCACCCTTCAACTCTAAAAAATAGAGGGACGGCAACCCACCCTTCAACTTAAAAAAAAAAATAAGGGGACGACAACCCACCCTTCAACTGTAAAAAAATAAGGGGACAGTAACCCACCCTTCAACTCTAAAAAATAGAGGGACGGCAACCCACCCTTCAACTGTAAAAAATAAGGGGCAAGCAACGAACCCTTCAACTGTAAAAAATAAGGAGACAGCAACCCACCCTTCAGCTGTACCCTTCAACTGTAAACAATAAGAGGACAGCAACCCACCCTTCAGCTAAAAAAAAGGGGGACAGCGACCCACCCTTCAACTGTAAAAAATAAGAGACAGCAACCCACCCTTCGGCTGTAAAAATAAGGATAGGGCCACCCACCCTTCAACTGTAAAAAAAGGGGACAGCAGCCAACCCTTCAAGTGTAAAAAAAAATAAGGGGATTGGAACCCACCCTTTAACTGTAAAAAATAAGTTGACAGCAACCCACCCTTCAGTGGTAAAACAATAAGGGGACAGCTACTCACCCTTCAACTTCTACCTCTTCCCCCTCACTATAGTCTGTGTTAGTCTTCATATGGTATGTTTTACGTTTCCTCCTACTTTTTCATTACAAGTAGTACTGTTTTATTCCTAAAGCACTTAAACCCTTCAACTGTAAAAAAAATAAGGGGACAGCAACCCACCCTTCAACTGTAACAAATGAGGGGACAGCAACCCACCCTTCAATTGTTAAAAAATAATGGGACAGCAACGCACCCTTAGACTGTAAAAAATAAGGGGACAGCAACCCACCCTTCAATGGTAAAAAATTAGGGGACAGCAACCCACTCTTCAATTGTAAAAAATAAGGGGACAGCAACCCACCCTTCAACTGTTAAAAAATAATGGGTCAGCAACCCACCCTTCAACTGTAAAAAAACAACGGGACAACAACCCACCTTTCAATGGTAAAAAAATAAGGGGACAGCAACCCATCCTTCAGCTGTAAAAGATATGGGGATAGCAACCCACCCTTCAGCTGTAAAAAATAAGGGGACAGCTACTCACCCTTCAACTTCTACCTCTTCCCCCTTACTATATTCTCTTTTAGTCTTCATAGGGTATGTTTTATGTTTTCTCTTACTTTGTCAAGTAGTCCTGTTTTCTTCCTAAAGCAGACAAAATCTATCTGACTTTCACTTTCCAGACAAGCGTCACCCCGGAGGATCATCATCTCCATCAGTATAATGATTATTGTCTTCATCGCCACGGTGATCCTAGCAATGGTGGACTCCTCAGACTGTAAGCTTGTTACCATGGATACAATAATAGAAAGGAATATTTGAATTTGAGTCCATTTTGTCTTTTTTTTCCTCAAAACTGCCATCTGGCATCAGAATGTAATTTTTTCCTGCAAAACATTTTTTTTTAAGTTTTATGTGGAATTTTTAGAATATAAAAAAGAACTTTAAGCATTTCAAGCTTCTTTTTACTCATCAAAGACTGTAATAAACTGATTGTTTTCCCAGGGTCTGTGGAGTTTTTCTGGATCACTATGATGACAGCTGTGGTACTAAACAGTGAGTAGTTATTATTTCCTTTTAACATGGTTAAAAAATAACCATGTAATTAATGACTCTCAGCACCGTCTCCAGGTGTAAAGATATGTGTTTATATATATCGAGTTTAATATGAACATAAATCTAAATTTGAGTTATGTTTCGATATCTGGATAAAAATTATAAAAGACTATGTCTCCATATGCATTGTATTATGACAGACATCTGTCTATAAATTGTCCTAGTCATAGTTTTGTTGAGAACATTGTTGATAGATTGTGCGTTTAATTTACTTGGGAGATACATGTTTTATGATTAGTTGATATTTTTAGTGGCCACAGGAGTTTACCAAAACAGTTCATTTGGACTGGCAGCCATATTGCCCATGAAGTACACAAATGCCATCGTCCTGGGAACAGTACGTTCAAGGGGTCATATCGGTCCAACAGAATATTTACTGTCTATACTGACTGAAAGTGCTAGCTTTCAAAGTGGGGCTAAGTTTCAAAGAGAGGCTAGATTTCAAACAGAGGCCAAATTTCAAACAGAGGCTGAATGTACTACAGACTGTTGAAATAGCTCAGCTTGAAACAAGATGACTTTCATTGTTTTAGTTTACTCCCTCCTCTTTATATGTAAATATTTTACTGCTCACAATTGAATATCATTATGCTTATTCTGAGTAAAATGTGGTGTTGTGCAGATTCTCAAACAAATTAAGTCAACTTATTCTGAAAATTTCTCCTAATGAACAAATTCTGCAGGATTATAAACAGCAGCCAAAGAAAAAAGGCAAAATATTGATATTTCTAGATTTTGTTTTAAATTTCAGAATTTCTCTGGTGTGTTTATTGCTGTCATTAACATCATCTGCATTATCAGTAAGTATGAGAATTATTGTTCAAAAGTAGCTTCCAATTTAAGTTTAAAAATTTAAAATTGATCACTTAATCTTTATCAAGGAAATAAATGATTTTGATGTTAAAATACTTGACAAGAAGTTGCATATTACCTGCATATCATGTTTGATGTTTATACCATGTATGTGTTAACATTGTATCATTAACAGGTGCCCCTGACCCTAGGACCCAGGCTATCTATTATTTTGTGTATGCTATAGCTGTCCTGTTGTTTATATATGGTGTTTATTTGTGTTAACATTGTATCATTAACAGGTGCCCCGGACCCTAGGACCCAGGCTATCTATTATTTTGTGTGTGCTATAGCCGTCCTGTTGTTTATGTGTGATGTTTATACATATGTTAACATTGTATTATTTACAGGCTATCTATTATTTTGTCTGTGCTATAGCCATCCTGTTGTTTATGTGTAATGTATATATGTGTTAACATTATATCATTTACAGGTGCCCCGGACCCTAGGACCCAGGCTATCTATTATTTTGTGTGTGCTATAGCTGTCCTGTTGATTGCATTTGATGCATACTTTCTCCTACCATTAATGGTGAGTCCAGTTTTACTCAGAGTGTAGAACATATCTATCTCTTAATATGAGAGAGATAAGGATGATTTTTTATACTGGTTTGTAGGAGTAACTATTCCTTACCTTTAAGTATTACACTGTGTTTTTATAGAAATTTTATCAGCATCACCGTGCCTTGGTACGGCACCAACAGAATACATCAGGTCCTTCAAAGTCATTCTCGGAGACCTGTGTTTTGTTTGGTCAAGTCCTGAAAAAGGTGAGAAATTTGATTAGAAGTTCTAAAATGTATGAAAAATCAAACTTGTATGTCACATAGTTGCTTATTTTCTTATTAAATGACCTTGACCTATTTTACAGATCTGGGTCCAGGCTCTGTGTGTGTGGTTTATTTTCTTCGTTACCTTGACGATATATCCTGGAATTTGGAGTAATGTCACCAAAAAGGATTTCCCAATAGAAAGTAAGAAGTCAGAAATAAATTAACCATTATTCTAATTATTCCACATCATATTTACTCTGTAGATTACTTGGCACTAGGGACATTCACTGTGCACTATTCCATTTCTTATTTTACAGATAAATACTGGACAGTCATTTTCTGTTTCCTGAGCTTCAATGTGTTTGCATTTCTAGGAAACATTGTCTCAGAGTGGAAGAAGATTGTGAGTTTTTGTTGTTACAGTATAGCCACGGTCTTGTCAAAGACTTCTGGATGTTACAGTATAAAGTCAGGCAGTTGAAACTGATAGCATTTTGTGCAGTGTATGGACATTCCTGTTTCTTGTACGCAAAAGTGACCATCCACATACATTTACCTTTTTCAACAAACACAGAATAAGATTATTCAAATTAGCATTGCCCAGATTTGGTTAGTGTTGCGTTTGAAATATCAAATATATGTTTTGGTGGTCTTTTTGTTTTGTGTATTTAGCTCAAAATGGCTGAAAGATAGATTGATTGATTGATTGTATACTGTTTAACGTCCCTCTCCAGAATATTTCACTGATATGGAAACGTCACCATTGCCGGTGAAGGGCTGCAAATTTAGGCCTATGCTCGGCACTTACGGCCTTTGAGCAGGGAGGGATCTTTACCGTGCCACACCTGCTGTGACATGGGGCCACGGTTTATACGGTCTCATCCGAAGGACCGCCCCATTTAGTCGCCTTTTACGACAAGCAAGGGGAACTGAGGACCTATTCTAACCCGGATTCCCACGGGGCCTGAAGGATCTAACCCCCACTGATTAAAATCTAAAAAATTTTATTACAAAAGAGGGGGATCCCAATGTAAGTATATAACAACAGATATCTGTTTTGTAAGTATGTAGGGCACAGCTTTATTTGAGGACCCCTTTATCCTTTGTGTTTTAGCTGTCTTTTCCTTTTCTTCGTGACACGTCTTATTGTATTTAATTACAGCCTGGTCCCCGATTTGTCTGGATCCCCGTCCTTTTACGAGGTCTCTTCATCCCGTTTTTCCTGTTCTGTCGATTTGAGGTGGAGAACAAGGAGAGAACATTCCCAATTCTGATTGACAATGATTACGTGTACATCGTGGGGGGAATTCTCTTGGCCTTCACCAGTGGTTACTACAGCAGTCTCACCATGATGTACGGACCTAAGTAAGTAATGATTCTGATTGACAATGATTACGTGTACATCGTGGGGGGAATTCTATTGGCCTTCACCAGTGGTTACTACAGCAGTCTCACCATGATGTATGGACCTAAGTAAGTAATGATTCTGATTGACAATGATTACGTGTACATCGTGGGGGGAATTCTCTTGGCCTTCACCAGTGGTTACTACAGCAGTCTCACCATGATGTATGGACCTAAGTAAGTAATGATTCTGATTGACAATGATTACGTGTACATCGTGGGGGGCATTTTCTTGGCCTTCACCAGCGGTTACTACAGCAGTCTCACCATGATGTATGGACCTAAGTAAGTAATGATTCTGATTGACAATGATTACGTATACATCGTGGGGGGCATTCTCTTGGTCTTCACCAGTGGTTACTATAGCAGTCTCACCATGATGTATGGACCTAAGTAAGTAATGATTCTGATTGACAATGATTACGTGTACATCGTGGGGGGCATTCTATTGGCCTTCACCAGTGGTTACTACAGCAGTCTCACCATGATGTACGGACCTAAGTAAGTAATGGTTCTGACTGACAATGATTACGTATACATCGTGGGGGAACTATCCTGGCCTTGTACATTATTGGTGAGGTTCTAAACCAGCGGTTTCTATAACAGTCTTACCATGATGTTTGGATCTAAGTAAGTCTTGATTATGTTAACCATTGGGGACATAAACAATGGTTACACGTACATTATTGGTAAGGTTGATTACCAGAGGTTACTAGATTTATGGACTGAAGTAAGTTATTCTTTCCCTAAGTCCTTATCATTTAAAAACATTTTTCAAGATAGGGTATACCTTCATTGATAATTAATTGTTAGAGGTTCATCTCAGTGGATATTATATCTAAAGATATTTACGTTCCTTTACTTGACAGATTGGTAGAACCGGAAGTGGCCGGTATAGCAGGGATGATCATGGCATTCTGTCTCATAATGGGGATTACGACCGGCGTCAACTTCTCATTGGCTGTCGCTAATATGGCTATACAGTAACCATGGAATCAGAAGATCAAACGGAGAGATACTGCCGAAATTATCACGTACTGCCCAACAAGAATTGGGGTCCAAATTCATGCACCAAGCCAGTTCCTAAAATAACGGGCATCTGGTTTTTCTACCATTCACAGCTTATTGGAGAAAACTTAGACCTATCATTGAGAGTTATAATAATTAAAAGTACAGGTCTGATTGAAATTTTCTGTCCGAAGTTTATTGTTCATTTGCAAGAAAGCTGGTTTTCAAAATTAATCACTATATATAGCCATTTTGGAAAATAAAATAATGTCATAAAATAAACTCTCACTAAAGAATGAATTAATTACATTGTACTGTAACCAGTTAAACTGTAGTTTGAATTTAAAATTAATCTATTTATATAGTAAATATGCCTTTTAACTAATAAAATAATGTGGACACAGAAACAAAACTATACATAGAATGAAAATTTTGTTGGTACATACATGAACGAACTAATTATCGCTTGTATACAAACAATATAGTAAGTCAACATGTTCTCCGTCAAAGTGTGCCCTATTGTGATAAACCGTACAGTTTAGATGTTTAACGTTTTTTTTCTCTGATGTTCATTCTTGTTTACTTTATTGTGGTCAAGATACTTTGAAAATTTTTAAATACAAAAAATAAATATTTTTTTTTTTACAAATAAACATTTCTTAAAGCTTCACAAAATATTTCATGTACATGCACACGACATTATTTTCGGGAATTTGTTTATCAGTATTTAGCTCTGGAGCTTAATTTTTAAAATTTCTGCAAATGAAATATTGATAAATAATTAGCAAAATTATTTTTAGAGATTCGCAAGCATTGAATCAATGGAAACATGGATACATGTATATATAACTTGTAATTTAAGTAATTTCATGCTGCGTTTTTTTCCAAATATGCTTCAAAAAATCCAATTTAATCAAATTTTACGGTCCACCTACATGTACTCTGATAGAACAAACAAATCAAGTCTGAGAATTACCTAGATAATTAATAATCAAACATTAAAATAACCTTAAATGTATTTAGTATAAAAAGTCAATGAATAATATTGATAATTCTTTGAAATCTTAACTTTTATGTAAGCCATTTCGTTAAAATACTACTGTTGGCAAAAATTTAAAAATAATATTGTTTAATGACTGTTTGATGTTGGTTTTAAGACTGATTTTCTTGAGCTACAATACACATTTGATATTGAAAAATGTACTAAAAATACTAAAATTTTATTTCAAATTATACTGAATGGCAAACATATATTTTAGGGACCTTGCAACACGAAAACTCTATAAAAGAAAAAAGTTGGGTAAAATTTAAAACCACATTATCAATTTAATTAGCTCTAAAAATATTTAATTAACAATATTTGCAGACTGTTCATAATTCTAAGACAAGTGTAGTTTGAAACACGTGTTACTTAAATAATTTTTGTGTAATTCGTTTTGTCTTGCATTAATTATTATACATTCATTAATTTGTCGTCTTTAACATTATGTACAACAAATTCTTGGTGCGTAAAGCATTTGTACATTGTAAATTTAATATTTTAGCACTGAATTGTAATAGGTATATATTATAAAATTTGATGAAGAAAGTAACAGCTGTTGACAATAAAAATATAAATACCATAGATAATTTTTGCAATGAAATAATTATTCTTGTGAACTTTATTATTTAATATCAAACCTTACTGTAAGTCCTTTCACTTCGGAGTTAAAGCATCCACGATAAGTGATTGGATGACGCAAAGTAAAATTATAGAGCGAACGGTTAACGTTTTGTGAACGGTGAACGCGATACGGTGAACAGTGAAAAGTTTGTGAACGGAGAGCTGAACGCACGCTGAACGAACGGTATGAATGAACGAACGGTGAACGGGTGAGCGAAGGAAAAATATTTTTCAGGTTTTAATGATTCTGATTGACAATGATTACGTGTACATCGTGCTTATTTCCATCACCAGCGGTTAACAGCAGTCTCATTTACGGAATCTAAGTAAGAATTTTGATTCACAATGATTATGTGTAAATCGTGGGGGGAATTCCATTCATCAGTGGTTAAAAATTGATCATGATTTACGGACCAAAGTAAGTAATGATTTTGATTACAATGATTACGGTACATCAGATTAAAACCTTCACCAGTGGTTACTTTGCAGTCTCACTGATGTACGTATAAAAACCTTCTGCTGACAATGATTACGTATACATGAAATATCATATTTTGTTTATTGGTTTCTAAGTTTCTATAACAGTCTTACTTTTTACTATTATTTTGTTACCATTTAAACAATGGTAAAATTGCTTTTTATTTTTACGTGTATGACTTTGTAAAATTCAATGAATATTCTTCTTTTACTTTTAATACATTTATTAAGATAGGATATACCCTCATGATAATAGTTGATTTATCAAACATGTTTATTATATCTAAAGACATCTGACCTTTAACAGATTGGAGAACCTGAGTGGCCGGTATAGCCAATGATCATGCTTTGCCACAAATGTTAACTAACTGGGGCTGTCGCTAAATGGCTAAAAACCATGGAATCAGAAGATCAAACGGAGAGATACTGCCATTATCACTATAAAACAAGAACCAATTTTTGCACCAAGAGTTCAAATTAACGGGTATCTGACTTTTATCCATTCAGAGCTTATTGGAGAAAACTTACACCTATCATTGAGAGTTATAATAATTAAAGGTACAGGTCTGATTGAAATTTTCTGTCCAAAGTTTATTGTTCATTTGCAAGAAAGAAGGTTTTCATTCATCACTAAATGCCATTTTGAAAATGAAATCTCATAAAATTAAACTCTCATTGAACAGTGTTGAAGAAGTTAATAACTTTCAAAATCCATCCACAAAAAAAACTTGTTTTGTTCATTCCTGATAAAATGTTATAAAGGGTTCTCCAGAGATAATATCGCTTGTATGCAAGACAGCAACCTAAATATGTAAAGATAGATATTTGGACAAAAGCAATAATGATTCAAATCCATTGTGTCATACAAAGATTTTATTTGAGAGAACTCAGTTATGGAGATCTCTTCCATTTGCAGTAAAACACATAACAAAGTACCAGGGATGGACTATTTCGCTTCCTTATATGGGTAATTCGTTTTATCCATTGACTATTTCGCTTCCTTATATGGGTAATTCGTTTTATCCATTGACTATTTTGCTTCCTTATATGGGTAATTCGTTTTATCCATTGACTATTTCGCTTTCTTATATGGGTAATTCGTTTTATCCATTGACTATTTCGCTTTCTTATATGGGTAATTCGCCATTGACTTTTCGCTATATGGGTAATTTCTCCATTGACTTTGCCCTTTTTAATTCGTTTTATCCAATATTTCCACATGAATTCCCATTTATTTGGCTTCCTTAATGGGTTTTTATGTCCAGACTATTTTGCTTCCTTATATGGGTAATTCGTTTTATCCATTGTACTTTGCTGTAAGCGTCAATTGATTATAAGCCTATTTTACTGTATATGTATATGCACTTGTAATATTTTCTCTACTTTGCCCTTTTTGTTAAATCCAGAGAACCCACTTTATTTGTAAGGGTTTTGATATAGAAAAATAAGTCAACCTTGTTGATGGATAAGAACCTATATAGAAATTTTAATTGTGAATAAGTAGAAACATCTGCATTAAGAACCTTTATAACTTTCTGTATATAGTCAGTGCATTAGATATATAACATATACTTTGTGAGTCTTGGTTTTACTACATCTTACATAAGCTTTGCCATTTTTAGTTACTTGGAAGTGCCTGATTAGTTTGTTGGCTGATTTGTCAAGTGTCGTCTTATGGCTGATTTGTTGTTGTGTGTTGTTTGTTGACGTTTGTTGTTAGTTGGCTTATTTGTCAAGTATCGTCTTATGGCTGATTTGTTGTGTGTTGTCTCTTGGCTGATTTGTTGTATGTGATGTTCTCAAGCATTGCTTATTTT